CTGGAATGGAGCCTGAATAGTTGTTGTTCCGAACAACTCTGGCGCATTGAGTCGGTTGGGTGGAAACAGGGAGGAGGGACGTGCAGAGAGGGGAGGGGAATGATTGGAGAGGGAAGGCTGGAAGAGAGAAGAAGGTATGGGTAAGAGGAGAGAATAGAAGCGGGAAGATGAAAAGGGAGACGAAGAGGCCGTTGGGAGCAATGGAGAGTTGTGTACTGTTGAATGCAACTTCTGGAATGGGAGCATTCTTATGCGAACTGGAATTGAATGATGGACCATGTTGGAAGTGCAAAGAAGGTAGGTGAGGTAAGAAAGGGTGACAAGGGCACTCTTTGTATGGAAAAAGATGTTCGATGGGGCGTGGTGCATGGCATGAGAGAAGCTGCATGGAATGGAAGATGTTGCATGGCATGGCAGATGGTGCATGGCAGATGGTGCATGGCAGATGGTGCATGGCAGATGGTGCATGGCAGATGGTGCATGGCAGATGGTGCATGGCAGATGGTGCATGGCAGATGGTGCATAGCAGCACGCACAGTGAAGTCAAGTCTGTGAGGCTGAAGATCCATGCAGGCAGCTCCCCGGACAGTTGATGATCCGACACATGCCTGATGATGGAAACGGTAAAGAGAGACGCAGCAGTCATGAGAGGAGCAGTCAAGAGACGAGCAGGAGAAAAAAGAAGTGAGGGAGCATGGTAAGTGGAGGGGGAATGCGAATTTCCCTGTCATGCTGCGATGCCATGCACAACACTTCACGTGCCCTTCAGGCTTCGCACATCCAGTAGGGTGGAAGGGTGCCATCACATGCCATCACATGCCATCACGTGCCATCACATGCCGCTTTTGAGAATTCTCAAAAGCGCCCCTCACCCGGCCTTACAGAGACTGCAGCTTCTGCAGCTGGGAGAGCTGCTCTGGTAGCGACTCCAGTAGATAGTTGCGTGACAAACTCCTGTTTGCACCACCCATCCACGCACCACACATGTGGAGGGTTAAGAAACATCCGAGGGTGCTGCAGGGAGACGGGATGGTTGACGAGAGGCTGAGGGAAAGAAACGAGTGGCAGGAGATGGATTGGAGTGGGGAGCAGCATGCAGTGCAGATGGGAGCATAGAGATCAAAGCAGAGGGGTGTGAAGGACCTGATGGGGTGTGAGGGACCAGATGGGGTGTGAGGGACCAGATGGGGTGTGAGGGACCAGATGGGGTGTGAGAGACGACATGGACAATGCTGAGGAACAAGCCTCTCATGGACGCTGTAAGCCTCCTCTTACTCCATCACTTGCACTCATTCTCTCTCCTCGCTCATTCACTTACCTCTCACCCACTCACGCACCCACTAATTCCCCCCCGCACCAACTGCATTCCCCCCCTCCCAAGCGCACTGACAGGCGGGTGAGCTGCTGCAGATTGCCCAGCTCTTGCGGAACGGAAGCTTCGAGATTGCCGTGAGAGGCGGTGCTGCTGCAATGATGGGGCCGTGACAGGCAGGTATGGGTGAGAGGGCAGGGAGGGGAGGGAGGGGAGAAAGGGTAGAAGAGGAGAAATGGGGAGAAAGTGGAATGGAATCGATTCACCCGAGAAGGGGGGTGTGCGGTAGGCATGCAGTTGGGCGTGCACATGCAGGTAGATTGGGGAAAGAAAGATGGGTGGCCGACGGAAAACAGGTGGATCACGGTGCTGTGATGGCCTGTGGCACATAGATGAGGGAGGTGCATGAGAGATGATGAGAGATGAGGGAGGCGCATGGGAGAATGTAGAACTGACAGGCCGGTGGGAGAGGTCAGCCTGCCTAGGGTATCTGGGAGTGAGCGAGGGAGCTGATTGCAATTGTCCAATTCCCTACAGGCAGTCAGCACACGCAAAGATGGTGAAGAGGCATTAGAAGCATGGGTTGGTGGATGGATGGAGTTAAAAATACGAGAGGGGGAGAGGCACAAGAGAGGGTTGATGTGGATGAGAAAAAATATGAGAATAGAAGAGTGGGCAGGCAAGACAGGTCGAGCCATGTTCAACCAATCGAATGCAAGACAGTCACGTGCAAGTCCGTCCAAGCGAGGATAAGTCAGCACAAGCAAGGATAATTCATTACAAGCAAGGGCAAGTAAGTAGGGAGAAACGGGGGATGGAATGCGTGAAGGCTAGTCGGGAAGGGAGAATGAGATGACAGGAGTCTCACAGATCCTTGAGATGGGACAATGCGAGGAGGGCAGTGGGAAGGGAGCCGATGAGACCACACCCTGTGACGAAGCTGTGGGGGGGGAAGGATGGCAGGGAGGGAGGGATGGAGGGAGGGAGGAAGGGAGGGAGGGAGGGAGGGAGGGAGGGAGGGAGGGAGGGAGGGAGGAGGGAGGAGGGAGGGAGGGAGGGAGGGAGGGAGGGAGGGAGGGAGGGAGGGAGGGAGGGAGGGAGGGAGGGAGGGAGGGAGGGAGGGAGGGAGGGAGAGAGAATCAAAGTAGACTCAAATACCGGTTTCACGATGGGAAGAGAATGGGATTTGAGGGCAAGGGGACACTGCACGGTGTACTCACAGTGCAATGACATGCTTACAGTGCAATGACATGCTTACAGTGCAATGACATGCTTACAGTGCAATGACATGCTTACAGTGCAATAACATGCTTACAGTGCAATGACATGCTTACAGTGCAATGACATGCTTACAGTGCAATGACATGCTTACAGTGCAATGACATGCCCATCGCCATCACATCGCACAGCTTTCATGCTGTCGCAATCCTCGCCCCTGCTCCATGTCTCGATACCCCGCACATTCTTTGCATGTCTCCACACCCCGCTCACATCACTCCATTCGTGTGCTAGACTCGCCAAAGCGTCCACTGCCATCCAGCCAGGACACCATCCATGCACCCATGCCATGCACCCATGCCATGCACCCATGCCATGCACCCATGCCATGCACCCATGCCATGCACCCATGCCATGCACCCATGCCATGCACCCATGCCATGCACCCATGCCATGCACCCATGCCATCCACCCATGCCATGCACCCATACCATGCAAACATACTATCCACCCATGCCATGCACCCATGCCATCCACCCATGCCATACCACACAAGGCCGCATGTCCTCCCACATCACATGTTGGAAGCATTCCCAGGGGAGGGGCGAGCAGAATAGGGAGAGGGTAAAGGGATGGGGTGGGTATGGCGGGAGGTGCAACTGCCACCAGCAGTGATGGTTGTTGCTGGTACAGAGTTCATGTTTGCATACTGAACTGGGACACGGTAACGGATGATGCTGACTCAGGTGCACCCTGGGCGGTATGGTGCACGGCATGGCTGACTGTCAGAGACCTCTGTCTGTCAAAAGGAGGAGGAGGAGGAGGAGGTGGAGGGACGAGAGCGGGTCCAGCACGGCTACTGTCAGCACGACTCTCGGCTTAATGGCTTACTCTCGGCTTAATGGCTTACTCTCGGCTTAATGGCTTACTCTCGGCTTAATGGCTTCATCGCGGAAAAGGCAAGTGCCAAAAAAAACTTAAAAGTGGCGCGTACATAACTTTCCAGTTGCATTTTCCGCGCAAGAAAAAAGTTTGACTCAGCAACAGTGGTAGCGTCAGTAACTACAACCGTCACCTACCCGTCACTTTTCGGCAACAACGTGTGCAGATTCCCGCATCCGCCACGCAAGTGTACAGGCAACTTCACAACTGGAATACAGTAACCACACACGTTACTCGGATGGTCACCATAACGTTGCACCGCAACCACCCACCTCACATACCTCCCAGTAACCAAAACATGCGGCGACGTACACGTGCCCACGTGTACCTGAATTTCAACCATACCTGCCACGTAAGCGTACACACCCACTACATGCCGAACCTACCACAGCCGCACGATTACGCACCACCACACCAACTATGCACCGTTCACGTGTAAACAGCTCCGCGAGTCGCCTATACTGTTACAATACCTCCGGCCAAACGAGTACCATAGATTAGGGTAGTGCATACCACATCCAGCCCGTCCATTCTCCATGCATTGTATGCCTCGCACCACTACCCCCCTGCCACGTGCAACTCACAACGTCCATTGATACAGAACTACCACGCGCCATCTCACCACCTGCTTGTCCCACGTGTCCTCAACACCCGCCATCGTACTATGTGTTACCCCTTCTCGCAGCTACCTCGCATGCGTAGCCCAACCACTTGCACGCGACCATGTTCTACACCCTACGTAGCATCAACAACTCATAGGCTGCCACGTATCAGCCACTGTTTAGGGATATCGCACCGGCGATCGCCAAAGCGTGCGGCAGCAATTCGCACAGCCCCTACGCGTCGCATCACCACCTTCAGACCTCACAGGGTTGGTGCACGACACCCGCGACCACCAGCGTGGCAGTTGGGCCACGTTGAGGTTTCGCACCGCTCGTAACATGGTCGCCTGCACCACACTTCCAGTGTCGCACAACACGCATCACCAAACACCAGCCGTCCACGGAGGACGGGAACGATCCACCCCTCCACCGCCACGCGTCACTTTCACACATTCCACAAACGCCACCGTGCCAAGCACACAAACACCGTACCGACAAATGGGGCCTCGTCAACTGTTCGAACCAACCACGGCAATCCACGTGTTGCTGTCAAAGTAGGCGGATCCCAAACCATTGCCCCTCTCGTGAGCTCTCCGTCAAACGCGGCGACACTTGCGGTGCACATGACGCGCGCCCCGGAAAATTTGGTTCAATTGGTCCTAGCCAACCAGCATTGCCCGCCGATGTCTGACTGGATGGATATTGACCCCGTCATGTCCATTACACACACTCAAAACAAGCATACAAGAACAATTTCCACAAACGTCTACCGCGCATCACACACCGTAAACTGCACGAGAAATCTAGTCACCTACAAACACCAAACCAGCCGCACGTATCTCAATAGCGCACGCAAAAGCAACATCACCTCCCACCACGGCAAGGTCTATGCCCACCAACAGCCCGTCCTCCCCCTCCCCGCCGCTCTACACACCCCCGACAGACACCGACTGCACATCGTTCCCGGCGGCGTCTCCTCCGCTAGCGCCTGCATTGGGCTTCATGCTCTCAAGCCCACATGCAGAAAGGCGGAGGCCATGGCGTCCCCATATCCACTCCTCTTTCTCCTCGTCGTACTCTGGATTGAAGTGACGGATGGCCTGTGAAACGGAGCCCTTCACAAGCACCTTGAGCCCGTTCACCACGTGGCCGTTCCCCCCCGCCGAGTTAGAGAGACGGCCCATCCTCTGCTCCCAGTACATGATGCTGTCGGACACCTGACAGGAGATTCACACCGCGCACACATTGTAAGCCTACAGCCCAGGCGAGGAGTAACCACCAAATTTAAACATTGTCACTCACCACGTGCTCTAGCCACGCAAGGTGGTACACCTTCAAAGTGAGCGGCAGTGCAGCCTTCTTCGGAATGAAGGCAGCCTTTGCGCACGCCGCAAACGCCGCAGAAGCAAAGGGCATCCCGTCGCGGTCGTTAGCCCAGTTGCTCAACACCATATCATCTGCACACCGCCGACAGATCGGACGAGTAAAATTACTACACCCAAGCACGCAACCGTCACCAATGTGTAGAAGCGCCTGAACACCGCTTACCGCTCTCATCCGCCCCGAGCCCAATGCGCTCGCGAATCTGCTCCAGCGTCCGTGCGTTGTCCCTTGCCCACGGGCTTGCCTCGTCGCGCTCGTCCCGGAAGAATCCAAGCTTCGGGAGCGCAATGTCCCGGACCCGTGCTGCAGCCCTTGTCTTCCACTCGCTCAGCGTCTTGTTAAGGTCCGCCCGTCGGGACTTGTCCGCTGCCAGCGCGAGACACGCGAAGCTATGCGGCAGGCGGTCAAGCACTGCGCAGACGCCATAAGTCTTGTCGTCAGAGCTCGGATAGAAAGTCATGGTTGCGGCCGGCTTCTTCAGGAACAGCTGCACGCGGACCAACTCGCATAGTCGCTGCACACAAGTCAGGAACCACCGCAAACACTGAATGAGAACAGTGCTCCACCAAAGGGCATCCCCATGCAGACTGCGCCCGCCCATACAGTAATGTTTCCCGTCTGCTAGCACAACCCACCTTCCAAGCCTTGTCTGCTGGCAGCAGATCAAGTGCGCGTTGCAGAACAGGCGACTTCGCAGACCGCATATGTTTGCGCCGCGTGCGAATCTGTGCCACGTCCTCGAAGTCGTCGTCGTCGTCCACCTCATCGTCATCGTCCTCAACCTCAGCCACAGCCTCGCCACGACGCTGGCGCTTTGGGTTCATGCATCCCTGTCCCGGCTCCCTCTGCCGCTCTGCTTTGCGGCGACGAGATCCCCCATCGGACTTCGCCAGTGCCTCCAAAAGCAAGGTTTCCAAGCGGGCAACCTTCTTCGCGCTCTCGTCTTGCGACTTAAGCAGGCTCCGGAATACTCCCGCAGAAACGCGCACCTCCTCTCCATTGGTTGGGACATCAGCGTTCTCGCGGTTCGTGTTGGTTTCGAACATCGCGCGCATCGCGTCGCCCACATCCTCGTCATCCTCCTCTTCGAAAGCGTTGACGTCGCTCTCGATGCGTGCCTGGTCGCCCCCGTCAACGTCCTCGCCTCGATTCCGGAGAGCCAGACGCGGATCAACGTCGCTCTTGGAACGCGAATCTGGCGAGTCACTCTCCGCCGCTTGCTTGCCTACTCTGCCGGGAGAAGCGTCAGATGTCTCCCCCCCCGTAGTCTCTGAAGTGGTGGGAATGTAGACGGACGAGAATGTAAGTTCGACGGTTTAAAAGCTCCATTGCGGAAGGAAGGGGAATGCCAACGGCTTCAAAAGCACACGAGACTGTAAACGGCTCAGTTCTTTGGAACAATTCGAGCAACATGCGCAACAAACCCGTGATTACCATCACCAGCAGGGTTTCCGCCACCTCCCGCTCTGGTAAACGTCAAACGCTTAGGCAAAGCAGTTCCCCGAGTCCCCCTTGCCATGCGCCCACGAGGAGTTGCAAGCTGATATGCCGCGCGCAGGTACGCCGGAGGCTGGGACACTCGCCGTGCACGCCCCAAGTTGCCAGTATCTTCGGAAGCAAAGGAAGTCTCCATTGTGCCCAGCTGTATGTGTTGAGTGCACCGTACGCATTCCTTAGTGCTCGGATTGATATAGCAAAGTACACGGTACCCAGTGAACATTGCTCAACAACGGAAACACCCATTGTGAAAACCGTTCCCTCCAATCAAATTAAAAGGCAATCTCTGACAACCACTCGGAAACAACCTCCACGATTTCTGTCATCTTTGTAAGCGAATACGCATCGGCCACCGATCCCCGTCATCTTTTGTCCGAAAACCCGTCCTCTCGCTATCAGTTCCGCTTACTCCGTCTTCGGTACACTTGCTATCATGCAAATTCGTAACACCTCCACATTCAACTCCAGATATCATTTACTAGCAAAATAGTACAGACACGATAGATTTCACATGCTTTCCACACGCATGCAAACATCAGTCGGGTACGGATGCCTTTTTCTATCCCACGGTACACTCTTATTTCCCACAGATATCCCAAGCACCATCCTTCTGCCTCCCACGACCAGCTTCATCTGTCTTGTCATCCGTGGACTTTGCATCGGCACTGCGGAGCCTCCCAAGCGCCCTGCTGTTGGTTGGTTCGATGGCAACGATCTCAGTGTCCTCACTTCCAGCCTTCTCTCCTTCACCCTCTCCTGCCGTGCCACCACCCTGCGCACCACTCTCCTTTCGCGGTCTCCCCCTTTTAGCAGGCGTTGCATTCTTCTTGGCCCGCGCTGCCTTCCGCATCACACCCTCGTACACCTCCCTCCATACCCTCCAGCGCCACCACATGCGGGCATCCACCAGGACTTTTAGGACTTCAGGAGTGCACCCCTTCAAAGCTGCCCTATCCGCCGGTGTTAAAGCCACAGAGTTCCTGGTGCCCATGCCTGGCCTCAGCACGTGGGCTGCTGCCGCGTAGCAATACGCTGCCTCCTCTATCGTGGTGTAAGCGCCGACTCTCTTCGTTACCTTCTTTCCGTCCTTGTCCTTGGCGACAACCTTCACCCCAAACTTGCCTGTATCGGCCTCCACATACACCCCGGTGTACTTGGTCGGCTTTGTTCCTGGCTCGGTCTCCCCCTCTCCGTCCTCGTCAGAATCCTCTCCTCCGGCCAAGGGCTCCTGCTTAGGCACAGCTGTGAAGCCGGGGTGTGCGCCCGCACCGCTCTGCGCGATGCCGTAAACAGGATAGGATGGCTGGACTAGTGAAACCGCAGCTCCCTGCTGGCGCGACAACAGCCAGTGTGGAACCGTCCCGGGGATCGGCAGATGTGCCGGGAAGCAGGGGTACGCTCCAACGGCTGACGCGAACTTGCTGTCGAGCGACACTCTCGTGTTGGAGCCCACCAGATCCTCGTCAGGGCTGTCGTTCAGCTGCTTCGTGTATCCTGAAGGCCGTACAGGAGTGGTTGGGCCGTGCTTGCGCGGATCATTACCTCCCGCTCCCTGCACAGCGCAGGCAGGCTTCTGCAGCATGTTTTCGCCGGCAGAGATCAGCTCCTCCCTCGACATCCCAAGCACCTGCCCAATTGCGGCGAATCCTGCAGTCATCACACCTCCGCCTCGAGCCGGTCCACACGTCTTTGCTCTGTGTGTTGTCCGTCCTCTGCACCCTCCTTCAAAGTCGTGTTGGTGGTGGTGCCGCTTTCCTGCTTAGGAACATCCACGCCATCTTCCTCTAGCCTCCGGAGCAACTCCCCCATAGCGTGTGCGCATATATCAGCGCGCATGTTGCGGCGGTACTGCAGCGCGCTGACCCCTTTGAACCACAGGCCACTCTTCAAGTTGGCGAAGTCGGAGTAGACCAAAACTTTCAAGTAGTGGCAGATGAAGACTCCGCAGTCAAAACCATTCTCTTGCTTAGGGATGTGGTTCGCCTGCACACAAAGAATCCGCACACCGGGTAGCCGCTTTTCACCTTATAAACCTCAACTGCCTAACACCAAAAACACCAGAACAGCCGCCCTTACCGTGAGGACATGACAGGGAACGTCCTTCAGCAGCAGTTCAAAATTCGACATGTCCACATGTGGGTGCGTCTGCTTGGCGAGAGTTGTCAGCAACCTGCATCACGTCTCATATGAGGAACCCGGTTACATCCACGCCGGTGTTAACAACCACCATATTACGGCTTATGCTACAAACACTTACAGCTTCACGCCACTGAAAACCTTCTGTGTACTCATGGGGGCCTTGGAGCTGTCGAACAACACCATTTCCAGCGGAGGGCTATCCTTCCTTGCCATCTTATCCACCAGACGGTGGGGTGATACGACTATCACCAATGAGTAGTGCTCTCTGCAGGGAGGCAAGCGGCAGTAAACGGCAGTGTTTAGTACGGCCGATGAAGAATGCATGCAACTCACGGGTGTTGCTGAACTACTCAAACAGCTCGATGATTACCCCCTGTAGACAGGGACCGCCAGGTAGTCGTGCTCAAGGAGAGGCAGGCCGTTTCCAGCATTGACGGGAGTATTGTGCTCAGTCGTGTTCGCGAAGTTGTTGCAATCGACAGCCGCCCATGTCTTCCCGTTTGACAGTTTCGGCACTCGGATGCTTAGTAGCCTGGAAACACACGCCGGACATGTTGGAAAGTCGGCATAAAGGGATGGCATCGGATCCTCCTGCTGCGATTTAACATGTTAAAAAAAAAAAAAACAACGTGCACGTAGCCGGGCGAAACCGTTACTCACACGTTGTGGAAGTCTATCGCCCCGTCAGTCACCCATGTGTTGTCCGCGATGGAGGCGAGATCCTTCTTGTCGACTGTGCTGACCACGTCGCGATGGTTCTTGAGCTCCACGTTGCGATATTCGACTTTGTAATAATGCTTCTCCAACGCCGCCACCAAATCGTCGGGCTGAGGGAGGTCAGCAGGCGTGCTGGCTGCACCGTCAGCGACTTCCATGGTCTTTCCCTTGTCATCCTCCACCGCCCGTCGTTGCCTTTTTTTGTTAGAGCCGGCGGCCTTTCCCTTACGCGACCTTGTCGCACGCACTTCTCTTATCTCGGACTCGGAGCAGCCGCTCGATTCTTGGCTGCCGGTGTGCGCGTTTTTCGGAGGCATGGTTGGCGCGGGATGAGGGGAAGGATGCGATTTCAGAATCAGATGTACTAGGGCCCGGCCACGGTTCCCACGGTAAACTAAAACCATTAGGGTTCTCCTGCGAACGAATTTAGGAAAGCGCAATAGCCCGTGGCAAGATGGCAGCAAAAGTGGTCACATCACCCGATGGATGACAGATCTCCAGATAGGGTTACTCAAAGTTCGTCGCATCATGCACAGGTCACCGAAATGATGACAGCTGGGCACCGCAGAATGGTCTGGAATAGTTGGATGAGTGCATGTCATTGCTCCGTAGCCAGCACGACATCGAGAGGCTCCTAATAACGGGGGTGCGTGTATGACTTGTTTTATATCAGGCATTTTCATTTCGAAATGAAGTGTAGCGTCGATAAAGTAGTGGTCCAGTTGGTAGGGCCAACTCCCGTTTGTTTCGACTTATGATGATATAAAGTGATACGACAATGCACAAACGCGTACATCTGGCTCATGACGTAAGGTACGAAATTGGCACTTCCTCGCACGAATTGCTAGTACACCGCTGTGGGCAAGGTGTAGACACGGGGCCACCTGGCCAGTGTAGCAGTGATCAAACAGTGCCGGATGGGAAAGCCCCTGTTTACGGGATGCGTACGTGGGAGCACGTGCACGTATACGCGGCATGTAAAGTCTCGTTGAAGATTTGTAATATAATAGCGCTTATGATGGGCTGACAGTTTCTGCTATTGTTTCGTGGCCAAATTTACGTAGGTAAATATTATCAATAGTAAACGGATAGAGTTGCACACTATTTGTTTGCTTCATCGACGTAGTCTTATACACATAACGTCTATCTTCACATGGCTATTTTAACAACCAAGTGTATTCTTACGTACATGTAGTGTGTACGAAGCACTGACGCCTCGTATGTTGCCGCGCACGGCCGTGGACGATATGAAAACCGACTATCTCAACCATTGCTAGTGGTCGGATTAGGGTTTGTAGCAAGTCCGAGATGACGGGAAACAAGTGCGGAGTGTGCGGTAAGGAATTTCCTAGCGACCGTGACTTGCAGTCTCATCTCTCAGACAGAACGAAATGCGGGGACTCGTTGAAGAGAAATCTCGAGCAGCTTATGTTTGATGCTTACCTGGATGCGCTAAACAGTGTTGGGCAAAAACGCCAGCGCAACCCTGCTACGTCTGGGGCCAAAACCAACCCTATACCTACGAACTTGCCGCCAGAGGGCTCACCGCCGCAGGCGACGGAGGCAGATCATGAGGCGGACGATGGCGACTCAAAAAGCTCTACTTCTTCGGAGGCCAGCGACGTCTCCGACTTCTTCGACACGCTCACGGAGCTGTACCTGTTTTTCCGTGACGCGGACTTATCACGCCGTGAAGTCAACAGACTGCTTAACATATTTCGGAACCCTCAGTTCAGTTTGAAGGAATTACGCAAGTGGCGCAGCTACGCCGACGTGAAGCGATGGGGGAAAGAGCGTGCGCCGCCAGATATGGTTCCATGGAAAACAGAGCATATCGTCGTGCACGGGCCCAGAGGAATGTCCCAAAAGCTTCTCTTGCACTTCCGCGACACAGAGCTGGTGAGCTTGTCGTCATCTGCGTACCGCCCTTATTCGGCTTAGGTGTTGTGACAGATGGCGTGTAACGTGCCTATCTATATTTGTATTGTCGCGCATGCTTGCTATGGCCATGCTCTGATGTGCAGCTTGTGAAGAAGCTAGTCCGCGTTTTTCCGCGGAGGAAGGGTTTCGTGTGGAAGCCACAGGAGAAGTACAACGAGAAGGGGAAGCGCGTTTTCGAGGGGCCAGAAACAGGCACGTGGATGCACGAGGCGCAGGTGCGTTGCCTGGCTGAAACAGTGCATGTCCGATGCAGGGGCGTGGTACTGTAATAACCACCTCGGTGTGTGCGTGTGGCAGAAAGAGATCAAGGACGACAAGGCTCTGATTCTCGGGGTCATCGTGTACAGCGACAGCACTCAGGCGTCGCGCAACGGGCGGCGGAATGCGTGGCCTGTTCTGATATCGCTTATTAACATTCCGGAGGAATTGAGGTGGTTTGAGCCGGGCCACACTCTTGCGGCAGTGTTGCCATTCTGTCCGGAATGGGCTAGTCCGACAGAGAAGGCCCGTGTTTTCCAGGAGGCGCTGAAGATCATCCTAGGACCCCTGATGCGGGAAACCGCAAGGTACGTTTGGCGGCATGTGTGTTGGTTATTCACGCGGTAGACGCGTTGCTTGTGACGTACCTGTGATCCGTTACCTATTCGAAATCCCTTTCTGTATCCAGTGCTCCTGTGAGGTACTTTTATGTGACAGACGCCACCGGCAATGTGGTCAAGGCGGTACCTTGCCTCTATGGGTACCCTGGTGACTATCCAGAGAACAGTAGGGCCTCAGCCACGCTGCAGACGGGCACTCATCGCCCCTGCGCTAACTGCTATGCAGAAGTGGGAGAGCTGAAACGGCTGACTGCTAAAATAGATCCACGCACACCTGAGCGGCAGAAGGACATTGTGCGACAGTTTTTTGCGTTCGCCAAAAAGGAGGACGCCCGGAAGTACATGAGCCAGTGGTCAACCCATCCGATAGAGGTATGTTGCAGTTTGCCATTGTGCCGTGGAAACATTCGTTCGACTCGTGGCGACACTGTACATATAGGGTTGTGACGTGCTTCCTTCTGTGCGCAGTGCGTGCTGGCGCGGTGGAACTTTGGGAACACCACCTGGGGGAACGTCTACCTCGCATGTTTGGCTGACATTTTACACGTGATGGACTCTGGTGTCTTCGTACACATGATGGAAGAATACCTTTCCCCCCTGGGGAAAATCGAGATCCGCATCCTGGAGAGGTGAGCCGTGTAGATCATCAGTGCGGTGTTTTGGAGTGGTCAGGGCTTTGTCAGTTCCTTGGAACGGGTTTTATGGCTTGGCCGAGATGCGTAACTGGCTCGTTGGTCCCTATTGCGTGGCAGGCGGAAGAAGGACCTCAAGAGCGATACTCCAAGTGTGCTGCTGCGGATTCCTGGGGGATCATCATTCTTCCTTTCTGGTGCCCACTATGCGGCGTTCGAACATCGTGCCATGATGCAAATCATGCCGATCCTCATTGCGGATTCTAGTGCATTGAAGAAGGGCGAGGCGGGAGAGTTGAGGGCGCTGCAGGTTAGAGCATTCCGTTATTACGCCCTGTTCTACAAGGCGTTTTTGGGAGTGGCGGCGCACACCCGTGCCACGCTGAAAGAGGCCAAGCAACGTGCTGTTGCGTAAGTACGGTGGTTGGAGACGTGTGTTGATTGCAATCCTTGTGCACCCTTAACCCTGTGCTTTGCAGTCTGCTGTTAGAACCTCTGAGCTACACAACTGTTTGCTATGCAGGTTGATGGAGCTGCTGCCCAAAGCTTTCCCGGACCAGGCATCAAAGTGGGAAATTCTCAAGGTCCACATGATCAAGCATCTTCTCGAGAACGTGGAAGCAAGGGGGATGCCACACCACTACAGCACGGAGATGTGGGAGCGCACTCACAAGGGGACAGTGAAGGGTCCCGTGAGGGGGAGCAACTGGGCTGACATTCCGAGGAGAATTGTGGATGAGGAGATGCAGCTGGAGATTTACAGAGAAGTGGCTCTCGATGCGGGAGGAGGTCGGCAGTACGTGTCAGCGCTGCGTGTGGTGAGTGTTAGGGTGCAAGCAAGACTAGGGGTGGTGCGCTGGGCGACTCACGCCCTGTACTAGGTGCGTGTTTGCTATGCACTCTCATTCAGTGCATGCTGTGTCGCCGGTGGTTGTGTGCGGCAGGCCGTGGAAGAGATGGAGCCAGTGCTAACGAAGAAGTTCAGGGTCATGCGCCTCGGAGGCACCGCGGACAAGGTGTTTGCCGAGTACGCAGCGGTATTTGGGGATCAGATGGCGGGCCTACCAGGTCAGCTGCGGGAGATGCAGTTGAACCCTGGCAGTGTGCAGGTAATCCTTTTTTGTGGTGCGCGGATTGTCGGTTTTTGGTGCGCGGAACGAGTGACATTGCCTGACCTCTTTGCTTTGTGCGTGGTGCTTGCCTTATTGCAGACACACACAGCAGTGGCCATACCACGTACGCAGGGTGGGGTGCTTGTGGCGAAGGGGACGTTCGTCAAGGCGTCCCCGCGAGAGAACCTGTTCTCAGATGTGGCACTCCTGGCTCCTGAAGGCGGGGATTGGTTTGCTAGATGCCTATGTATTTTCAAGGCGTTGAACGCGGAGGGCAAGTGGACTGGGTGTGCCTACGTGAGGTACTACGAAGCAGCAGGCCAGTGTCCCATCACAACGTGCACCCAGTTGCATCCAGCTCGAGAGAGTGTCCGGTTCGCAGTGGTGTTACTGAAGAGCCTGCAGAGGGTTGTCCACGTATGCCCATCGTACAGCAACCCTCGTCTGCTGCTGGTTAACAAGTTTCTACTCTGCGAGTAATTGGAGTAGGGCTGTGTGTTTGGAACTGTGGATAGGTGGTTTTGTTACACTCCTAGAAGGGGTGGAATTGTGGGATTGTGGCATGTAGGGGTGCATGGGAACCTGGGTAAGGGAAGGAGAGTGCGCACCCGAATAGTACGCAGGTCTCGTGGTTGGATTTGGTGGGCTTGTGTGGTGGGAATGTGGGATTTTGAAAATGCACCGTCATACTGGATTTTTGGCGGCCGGTGTGTGGATTGAGGCAATGCTTGTAACGGATTTGGTTATTACGGCAGTAGGTTCACGGCACTGGTGTGCGGATTTGGGTGTTGTGGCTGAAATGCAGGGACACTCTTGTTACGGAATCCAATTGGATATGTTGCTGGGGCTAATGGTTCGATGTTCGGATTTCTAGTGCGTGTGACTGGCAGGTGCGCATTTGTGTGACGTGTACGACAGCAGAGGTTGACAGGTTGGGCCAATGGGAACTGCGCAATTGTGTACCTGGCATTTACTGGACAGTGTTCAGTTGGAGAGCGATTCAGTGGTTGCTGCACATGTGGAGCGCCTAAAAGGCAGCACATGTGGTGGTGGAGAGTACGGTTGGGGTTTTTGGTGGATTATTTTGGGGACGTCCACCATTTCATCTCCAGCGTCCCACACGTTGTCCGGGGTGTGCTGGTGGCCAGTATGAGCTCGGTGAAGCCCCCGTTGAAGGACATCGTACAGAAGCTGAAAGTGCTCCCCGACGATGTGTTTCTGTTTGTGGAGATACCGTTTATGCCCAGCCGGTTGCCGAAGACCAAGATACCTTGGAGGAACGGAACCCCGTGCGACCGGATCATAAGTGTCGGCTTCTTGTACAATGCGACGGGGACCTGCACCACGGTGCCCCTTGTGGTGTTGCGCCATGACGAGCGCCCCGAACCTAGGCGCAGCGGGGATCCTGCACCGGCGGTGATTGTGCGCTACACGAAGAGTGGGCGCCTCACACCCGAGGTATGTGGGCCGATTTCGAGTGGACTCCCACCAGCACATGTGTATAATGTTGTGGCTGCATTTCAACCCTGTTTCTGTGTGATACCCTAATTCCGCGCTGGCGCTGTCGTGGCTTGGCGGTGCGCAGGTGTTTACCGAGTTTTTTCAGACGGTTGATGGGGTGCAGCTTAGCCGTGGAAGGAAGACGGTTGTGTTCACCTACAACACGGCGCACCGCATTACCGCGAATGACGCGGAGACCACGGTGGAGCATGGGCTGACTATGGTGCATTTCACGCACACACGCTTTGTGGACCTGACAGACGTTGTGCACTGGTCCAGTATGCCGTTTTTGCACGGCGTGGTGGACGCTTTCAAGGCTGAGTATCGTGTGATACTGATGAGACGCGCGGTGCGGTCCAATCTGTTCCACGAGGATTTCGAAGCGCCGTTTTCCCTGGTGAATTACGGTGTTATGCTGCTGTGGGTGGGCTTGGCATGGAAGGCGCTGACGGCGGCAACGATGCAAAGGAGCTGGTGGAGGGCGGGATGCGTCCCGGAGTCATGGTGGGAGCTGATGTGGCACCTGCACGGCATGTACTCGGCCGGCATGTACGATCCCCTGGTCTCTACCACGGCGGACCTCCTGGTGCTGCTACGTGAGTTCCGTGTGCGGCCGGCTATTTATATGCCGGTGTCCGATTACGTGACATGCGATGAGTGGTTAATGGAGAAGGCTGGTGTGAAGTTGGTGACGCCCACGACGCCGACGTCTTCAGGGGACGAGGGCGAGATGTGCCTGCCGGATGGGCCTCTGATGCGTGACGAACGAAGCCGACGACGTGCCATCCGCAATGTGACGAACGCGTACGTGTGTCACGCGGAGGCGCTGGGGATTGCTCCTGCGGAGGTGGCGACTGTCGTTGGCGCCTCTGATGGAGAGGTGGTTAGCCGCCTAAGTCGCACACCGAAGAAGCGAGCGCGCAGTTCGGGGTCGTCGGACAGTGGGTCCGTGTAGTGCGCTTGGTTTCGATGCTGTAGTGGGAACCCGGGGAGTGTTTGTTGGAGGGCATGCCTCGAAGGGTGGGCTCATCTTTGTAGTTGTGGTTGCTGGTTGACAGTAGGGTTTGGTTTTGTGTGATGTTGTACTTTGTATTGCTGAGTGCTGGAGTTGCAAGCGAATGACACGGTTTACACATTATGAAGTAGACGGTGTGCAGAGCAGTGTAGTTTGGTTTGTTCAGTATTTACCGTTGCTCGGAGTAGGTGTGCATTTATCGTTTCTGTGGTCCCTGTAGCGGGGGAGGGGCGACACGACAATACCGAGTATGTGTGGCGTTTTTGGCTCGAGCCGCATGTGTTCGAGGCGCATTCGTGGTGGCGGCGCGGATAATGGCACAGGTGACCCCAAAGTGACGTTTTGGTGGCGGTAATGTTGTGGTCCAGTGTGCGGTTATTGATCGCGCCAATGTTGCGTTTTACGGTCCTTGTTTTTCGGACACTTGTCGCAACAATCACGCAAGCCCCACGCAGAAAAACCTTCGGACACCCCAAAACGCAATTTCCCTTTTCCGCGATGTTACTCTCGGCTTAACGGCTTACTCTCGGCTTAACGGCTTACTCTCGGCTTATGGCTTACTCTCGGCGTCCATCACGGGAGCAGCGCGTGCGAGGGGCATGCAGCAGCGCGCCACCACCAGCGCCACCACCGCCGCTCTCGCCGCCGCAGCGGCCATCATGACGCCGCGGCGCGTCCCCATCGCCGCGGCGCAACCGTGACATCCCATCGATAGTACCGCGCGCGTTGTCGGGCCGTGTGCTTGTTTGCCGCACGCGCGGCCGTCGCCCGAGCGCCCTGCACGCGCGGTCTTGCCCGCGTGAACCATAAGGTAGACAGTTACGTTGTTCTGCGTCTTTCACAACTCGGAGTTGTGAGCAGTTTGCGTGTGCGCGCTGCAGCGCGGGAGATCGAGACTATTGAGCAAAACAGAATCTCTAAGCCGTTTCCAGGAAGGTTTACTCCAGCTGCTACCTAGGGGCGAGTAATGCGGATATTTTATTTACGTTCATTCTCGTCCTTGTCTTCGTCTCTCACGGGAGTCTCGGACAACACTGACCTGGGGAAAGTGCGGCGTGATGGAGGGATGGTGCAGTTTACCAGCTCGTTGCTCGGTTGGATGGCGTGGTGTTCGGTTTCTCCGTGCAAACTTTCTCCATGTCGAAAGCTTGTTTTCTAAACAAATGTCGCGGTTTCTTTACCCACAAAAACGCTCCAGAACTTTGCCAAACCCTTTACACCGCACAGCATCGTCGGTGCTCTCTGAATGTCAAGCCCCGAAGAACTTGAAGACTCTGGCTGACCAGCCCAGTTGGTGGCGGTGAGGTTGAGGAATGTGTGTGTGATGGTGGAAGAGAGGAACGCGTTACAGTAATATGTCCGTCAAAACGATATTGAGCTTCAAAAGGTGTACTGTATTCCACCAATCATCAACTATTGGCATAGAATATCAAAATGTAGTCATACTCACTCCTTGGCTGTCCAAAAATCTGCAAGAGTGGAGTTAAATGATGAGGTTTCCTTGATATACACATGAGTGCAACCACGAAACGCATTTCTGGACAACATGCATACCGTAAGTGAGCCATGTAAAAGGGTACAACTAATATTAAGGCAATACTACATATTTCAACAAGGATTATAATGGCACCTAATGATACTACGGTGTTATAGATGGCATCCAGGATTGGACATCCAAGAGGGCCTCAGATTCGTTTTAGACTCCTCAGGCTCGCATAGCATGGCATTGTAACCTAGCAAAAGGAGGTAGTCATTTTTTGGGAGGAAGTAATTTCTTGGAAGATAAATAAAACACATTTCGTCATGGTAGTGAACCCTTGGCAGTCCTGCACTAGCAAGTGATCTCCACACCCATGGCAGCTTGCCGGGCAGCAAGGGCTCTCTTTGAAAAGAAGTAGCGAGTGGGGGGTCGATTCTTGAGGCGCCTCAGCAACTGCAACATTGAGAAGGCCAGGAGCAGCCGCAGCAGCAGCGGCAGCAGCAGGTTTTGATGCACGTGGAGAGCAGACAGAGCCTCCCCACGACTGCAATGCCTGGTGGTTCAGAGGGTGGGTTGTGGAAAGAGAGAGTGATGGAGAATGTCGCATGGTGGTTCAGAGGGTGGGATGGTGAAGTTAGTGCCACCCCCATGGCTGCAGCTCCTAGTGTTCCAGATGATGGGTTGATGCATGCTGGTTGGATGAAGGAATGGGGGAAGGGCGCGAGGAGCGGATGCAGGTAAAGAAGAAGCAAAGTGAAGTGGGAGTGCTGGGTAGTGGTGGAGAGGAACGGACGGACGCAGCAGTGGACAGAAGTTGGCATGTAAAGAAAGTCGGGACGGGATAAGGGCAGTGCGGTCGTGACGGGCTCACAGAGGCGGACGCACACACGATGCAGAGGCAGTGTGGCTTGAGTGGAGGGAGAGAGGACCGACACCCCAGCACGCATCCCCACTTTCCACTTTTCCTAGGCTGCTCCGAATGGACTCAGTGCAGCAAGTGGAGGAGCGCGAGCAGCCCAGTGGAACCCATGGGGCATGTGTGGGATGGCAAGCAGGCATGTTGGCAAGCAGGCATGTTGGCAAGCAGGCATCAGCTAGCAAGGGCAATCAGCAGCAGGCATACCGTGGGAGACGCACGTGCCAGCAGCAGGCCCTGGCGTGTACCCCTCATCACAGACGCACTGGCCCTCGGGTTCACGGTCGGGTGGCGGTGACACATCCTTTTGAAAGGGACTCATCTCCTCAGACGGGTCCGGCTGGAAGGAGCACACGCCATGGCCGCTGCACGGCGGGGTGAGTGGCTGCGCCCCACAGAACGCCCGGCACTCGCTGGCTCGCCTCTGTTGCTTCTCGTCGTGCCAACGGCCGCAGTTGATAGAGCTGTTTCCGAGGCAGTTGTGGTGGAACAGGCACAAGCTGTGGGAATTTTCAGGATCCTCTAGGCTGGTAGCGTTGAACGGGAGAGGGTCTGCTGTGGCTGTGAGGTAGTTGTGGTCTGCAGACAGTCCGTCTGAAGTGAGACGGGCCATGTGGCGGAAGGAGGGCAGCTCTCCCGTAAGCTGGTTGTGGTCAAGGCGACTGTGATGGCAAGGAAGGTGGGAGGGAAAGGGGTGGGAAGGCAGAGGAGTGGCTGAGAATGGGAGTGTTGGGAAAGATGGAGTGCAGGAAAGGGGGGATGATGAGACAAGAGTAGAATTTCAAAAGAGGATAGCATTCAACAGAAGGTTGACACACTTCACGATGCGGCAAGCACAAAGGAGGAGAAGATACGAAGAGAACAAGAGATGAAGAGATGACGAGATGAAAGAGATGAAAATAGGTGCAGTACTGACAGTTGTTGGAGATGAGTGCATGCGGAGACTTTTGAGTCGACTGGAGCTGGTGGTGGCTCAACGGACATGCCTGTTGAGTCAGCTCAGCAGGCACGTGTTAAGAGAAGTGTTTCGAGACGTCTCAAAACACCTCTTTTTACACGTGGCTCAACGGACATGCCTTTCGAGTCGACTGGAGCTGGTAGTGGCTCAACAGACATGCCTTTCGAGTCGACTGGAGCTGGTAGTGGCTCAACAGACATGCCTTTTGAGTCAGCTCAGCAGGCAACACAACCACGTTGCATTGAAGATCAAACAAAGACTCCACTCCACCATTCAAGGATGACACTTGGGTGTTGAGACGACCGAGGCGGTGACACTGACAGGTATTCGAGATTAGTGAGCGTGGTGATTGCAGCAGGTATCGTCCCCGCTAGCCAATTGGTGCTGAGTTGCCTGAAGAGAGACGGGTGAATAGATGGACGAGGAGGGAAGGGGGGATGAAGAGGGGATGAGGTGATGAGGAAGAGGCGAAGCGGAGAAGGGGGGAAGAGTATAATCGGAGAAGAGGGGAGGAGGAGCGGAGGAGATGAGGGGGAGAGAAGTGAAGAAGAGAGGAGGAGAAGTGCGTGCGTTGAGAAACACACATCAGCACCAGCAGACGAAACTGAAGCCGTACTCTCATATTCAATTCAAACCCCCGATGCTTGGCAGAGAGAGGCAGGCGGAAAGAGGGATGGAGCGTGAAGGGGGGTTGAAGGGAGAATGGGCGCACAGGCTGATGAGTGCGGTGAGGTTGACGATGGAGGCGGGAATGGTGCCACTCAGCCTGTTGTCCCGCAGGTCCCTGCCTCGGATGGAATGGCATAGCATGGGAGTGAATGGCATGATTAGATGGGATGGAATGGTATCGAATGGGATGGACGGGCAGGCCATTAGCCCATAGGGATGCCTCCACTCACTCTCTCATCCCCTCACCCACTCTCTTGCTCACACTTACACCCACAAGTCACTGACTTGCCCACCCTCACTCTCCCACTCACTTGCTCATTGAGGGGACCTACCACACCTAATTATTCCTCAGCACCTTGAATGCCTGCCCCACCACCACTCACAACTCCTGTAACTGCTTGAGGCTGCTGATTGCCTCTGGAATGGAGCCTGAGAGATTGTTAACGCTGAGGTATCTGGAGCATAGTGAGGGTACGACGGAGAGGGGAAGGCGGAGAGGGGAAGGCGGAGAGGGGAAGGCGGAGAGGGGAAGGCGGAGAGGGGAAGGCAGGGAGGGGAAGGGGGGCAAGGGGAAGGAGAGGCATTGGAGGTAGAAGGCAGGAAGGACAATCATGATCAAGAGATCGGAAGGGGGAAAGCTGAAGTGGTGGATGGATGGCCGGAAGCATTCATGATCCGAAGTGGTGCAGAGATGCGTTTTCATTATCCGAAGCACTCTCCTGTACCATTTTCATGTAGCATTCTCATGGTGGTCGCCTTGTTATGATTTTGCAGCTGACAAAAAGCTTAAATGCTGCTATAGTTGCCTTTTGCTAGTAGTGGAGGTAAAGGAGGTGTAAGGGAGGGGAGTATGGGGGGGATGACTGCAGGGAAGAATGCAGTGAGAGAGATGGGATTGGGATGGTATGGGATGGGACGCGGTGGGAATTGGATGGGATGGGATGGGATGCACAAGCTACAACTCCCCATCACCACTCACAACCGCTTCAGCTGCTTGAGGCTGCTGATTGCCTCTGGAATGGAGCCTGAGAGACCGCTGTTCATACGGAATGGAAATTGACGTAGTTCCCTGGAGCATGGGGAGGGTGGGCAGAGGGCGGAAGGGAGGGAATGGAAAGGGAGGTGAGGGGAAGGTCGGAGAGAGGAAGGAGAGGCACTGAATGCGTGGAGGAGTGAAATGGAGGAGAGAATGGAAGGCAACTCATGAATGGTGGATGGGTGGGTGGAAACAGTGCAGAGTTCAGATCTTTTTATCGATCTGAGCTTTCTTGTGCAATGTGGTGGTGTCATATGATATGACTACTTTAAGGCTGGCTGAAAAGCATGCAATGTCTCGGAAAGACTTGCTGATAACACAGGGCAGGGAATTACAGTGTTGAGAATGGGAAGAGGGGGGTGGAGGGAGAATATGAGAGGGAAGGGATGGAGGGAGAATGGGAGAGAGGGGGGTGGAGGGAGAATGGCCATACAGGGTGGTGAGTGCGGTGAGGTCGCCAATGGAGGCGGGAATGGTGCCACTCAGGCTGTAGCACTGCAGCCACCTGCCATGTGGTGGCATTGGAGGGCATGGGATGGGATGTGATGGGATGGGATGGCATGTGTTGGGATTTCATGGGACGGGATGTCATGGGATGGCATGGCATGGGATGAGACAGCATGGGATTGAAGATAAGGTATAGCATGTAGTATGGGATTGAAGATGTGTGGCAGCTCTGTAGATTGATGGCAGCTCATGGCAGCTCATGGCAGCTCATGGCAGCTCATGGCAGCTCATGGCAGCTCATGGCAGCTCATGGCAGCTCATGGCAGCTCATGGCAGCTCATGGCAGCTCATGGCAGCTCATGGCAGCTCATGGCAGCTCATGGCAGCTCATGGCAGCTCATGGCAGCTCATGGCAGCTCATGGCAGCTCATGGCAGCTCATGGCAGCTCATGGCAGCTCATGGCAGCTCATGGCAGCTCATGGCAGCTCATGGCAGCTCATGGCAGCTCATGGCTCTGTGCCACACTTCACCGCATTGTGCCACACTTCACCGCATTGTGCCACACTTCACCGCATTGTGCTGCACTTCACCGCACTGTGCCGCACTTGATCGCAGTTCCCTTTGGGAGGACAGGCTGACAGGGACCCTCCCCGAGGCAATAGGAGCGCTCACCAACCTGGAAAATCTGTACGGAAGTTGGATGTGCATCGTTTCTTGTGATATGATATGACAATGGGATATTGATCGATAATGGCTTTTGCCAGCTCGACCACACAAGTCACATAAAAAAAAAAAAAAAAAAAAAAAAATCGCAACCCATGAGTCTTGGGGAGGAAGGCATTGGTACTGCCTACAGTCCTTTTCGAATGCCTCTTGTGCCTTTGCAATGGCTCTTCCCTCGAGTTCTCATGCTTGTGTAACTTCGGCTTTTCCCAGTAACGTGGCTTGTTTGACTGAAGCTGGATTGTTTCATTGTGAGAATTCCCAAGGCCAATCCACGGAGCTTCTCCAGTACCCCAGGGCACCAAACCCAAGGCATCAAGCCCAGTACCCAGGGCACCACATGCACCGCTGGTGGAGGGGAGCGGAGGAGGTTGGGTGTGGTGGAAGGTTGATAACGCATTGCCACACATGCATCCCCTGTGCATTGCATTGCAGCACCAGCAGTGCATACATATACCTGCAGTGCATGTATCTGCTCTGCATGTGTCTTGCACTTCAGCACTCACAACTCCCTTAGCTGCTTGAGGCTGCTGATTGCCTCTGGAATGGAGCCAGAAAAGTTGTTCTCCCGGATATTCCTGATGCATTAAGATGGTTGGGCGGAAACAGGGAGGAGGGAAGTTCAGAGAAGAGGGGAATGATAGAAGAGGGAAGGCTGGAAGGCAGCAATGTAAAGTTGTGTACTGTTAGATGCAACTACTGGAATTCTTATGCGAACTGGAATGGTATGATGGACTATCCTTGGCGAACTCCATGTGCAAGATAGTTAGGTGAGATAAGAAAGGGGTGACAAGGGCACGCATTTTGAGGAAAAGGTGTTAGTGTTAGCCCTCAATCTCACATTTTGTTTTTTTTTTATTCAATCCTAGTTTAGTGTAGTTTGCACTTTGTGTTTGGTTGGGTGTACACCCACATCCCAACCAAACCCAAATGTGATCTCCAAGCAATCTCCAACCCACCAATTGGAGATTGCCTTGGGATTACCCCCAATCCCTAGGGATTGCCCCGATTCCCTCCCCATCCTTAGTCTGGTCATTCTGGTTCTACTTAAGGAGCTTCAAGCTCATTACTGATGTATCAATTCTAAGCTCTATTTCTGACTAAAGGATGTTCAATGGGGCATGGTGCATGGCAGATGGTGCATGGCAGATGGTGCATGGCAGCACGCACAGTGAAGTAAAGTCTGTGAGGCTGAAGATCCACCCAGGCAGCTCCCCAGACAGTTTATGATTCCTCAACAAGTTTCTGACGATGGAAACAGTAGGGAGAAGCAGCAGCCATGAGAGGAGCAGTCACGGGGGAAGGAGCAGGGAGACTGTAGGAAAAAATGGTATGATGAACCCACGAATAGGTGTGGGAGGATGGGCAAGGTGAAAGTGAAGAGCGAGGAGAAAAAAGAAAGGGGTGAGCATGGCAAGAGCAGGAAGGATGAAGATTTCCCTTTCATGCTGCAGTGCCATGCACAACACTTCACATGCCCCTCAGGCTTCGCACATCCGATAGGATGCCATCACATGCCCCTCACCCGGCCTTACAGAGACTGCAGCTTCTGCAGCTGGGAGAGCTGCTCTGGTAGCGATTCGAGTAGATAGGTTTCCTCCAAATGCCTGCTTGCTCCATACACGAACCATGCATGCACCATACCATGCACGCACCACAGATGCGGAGGGTTAAGAAACATCGGAGGGTGCTGCAGGGGAGGTGGCTGTTGAGGAGAGGCTGAAGGAGAGAAACGAGTGGCGGGAGATGGATTGGAGTGGGGAGCAGCAGGCAGTGCAGGTGGGAAGAAAGAGATCATGGCGATGGGGTGTGAGAGGGCAGATGGGGTGTGAGGGGCCAGATGGGGTGTGAGGGGCCAGATGGGGTGTGAGGGGCCAGATGGGGTGTGAGGGGGCAGAAGGACATGGAGTCGACACAAATTTCGGAGGAGGAACAATGCTGTACCCATCACTTGCACTCATTCTCTCACCTCTCACGGTATCACCCACTCATACACCCACTCACTCCCTCCCACACGTGCTGCGCCCCTCCCCCAAGCACACTCACAGGCGAGTGAGCTGCTGCAGATTGGTCAGCCCTTTGAGATCAATGCGATGGGCTGCCCTGTTGCATGGTGGGGGCCATAACAAAAACAACGAGGGGAGACGGCACAAATAGGAGAAGGAAACGAGGGGAGAGGGCAGGGAGGTGAGAAGGCACGGAGGGGAGAAAGAGGGGAAGAGGGGAAAAAGGGAAGAAGTGGAGTGGATTTGGTGTGCCTGAGAAGGAGGGTGCACATGAAGGTAGATTGGGAAAACAAAAGAGGGCGGGTGATGCCAAACAGGCAGAGCATGGTAGTGTGATGGCCTGGCCTGGTAGTGTGACAGAGAGAAGAGGGAGGTGCATGAGAGAAGAGAGAAGTGGGAGGTGCATGGGAGAATGTAGAACTGACATGTAGGCTGGTATGTTACCCGGGAGCGAGGGAGGGAGATGCAAGCAATACCTCAAATCCCTGCAGGCCGCCAGCACACGCAAGAG